TATTATTTTTCCCCTCCCCTACCTCTGTGGGGTTTAAAAACCAAGGCCTTTAGGTAGACTTCCACCCTAGGCAAAGGCTCAAGGACACCCACTCTTGGGGGTAAAAGAGCAATAATACACGTCAAACATGACCCCCCAAACTTCCCTTTACTTGCCCATTAGGATGGCCATCTCAATGAGCAAAAAGCCAAGCTCCCAGATTGGTCTTCTATTCCACAGGTCTTCCAAGCTTATTTTTCTTCCTAAACTAGATGCAACTGGAAAACTCTATAAATGTACAGAAATTATGGTACTTACAGAACAGAGTTCTGTACAGAAATGATGTTAGTTATAGAACAGAGTTTAGGTCTTTTGTGTAAAACTTACTCTTAGTCATAGTTGACTTGACGTCACTTAACCACTACCAAGTGAAATGAGTGCTGTTATATATGGAGGATATAACACTCTTCCACTTTGTACATCACTCTTTGTCAATGTGCAGTATGAAGCAATCTGGGTTGCTATGATGCTGAACCTTGTACCCTTCGGGTATCAAATACCAGAATGGTTTCCCAATGTGGATAGTGTTTGGTGGTGCTCCCAGTTGTAAAACAGGTTTGGAAGCAGGGCGTGGCATCCACTTTCTAAACCACATGCCTCTGGAAACTCTATGAACTGGGAGAAATGACGATAGTTACGGAAAGACATTAGGTTTTTTGTTCATAGAAGTTGCTATGAGTCATGTCTGACTCAATGGCAGTCAACAAAAACAACTTTTGTCTGTCTTTCCATTGATATATACATCATGTATTTGCTTTTACATCAAGCCTCATCCCTTAACAATACTATGATTTTATCTACTCCTTTTCAGCTACCATCTATTTATAATGGTTGTACAATACAGAAGTACTCAGAAATATGGTAAGGAAATCTAAAGGCTACCATTTTTCTGAAGTCACAAGTCATTACTGTAATATTAAAGGAACATTGATGAAGTCCAGGTAGTTATTGATCAGGCCTGGGTAGTTACTACTAACATTTAAGACAATAAGAAGTAACTTTTACTGAACAATTAGTCAATATTCACAACACCCACGTGTGTGTAAGCATTGTTTCCAATTTACAAAAGAAGCAATGTAGACACAGATAAGAATTCACTGAGTGAGTTAGAAAGTAGTCAACAACAAGAGAAGGAGAAGAGTAGGAAGCTGTATTAAATCTGGCTCAAGTGTCTATATGACTAACTACTGTGTCACATTCCCCTCTAAACGTCACAGAAATTCCAAGGTTATGGCAAATAAATGATACTATGTGTCCATCATTGCTTAATTCATCATTGCTTTCACACAACTTCACTGGAGAAGTTAGAAAATGACAAAATGAATATCAGAAGAGATCTTTAGAGAATAGCTATGCAGTGGGTAGAGTCCACATCTAAAAAAGTAGAAATCCTGCTTTCAAATTCAGCAGAATTTGAAATCCATTAGGATATTAGGAACCCATTATCAAAATTCTTGTGTTGCAGCTCTGTCCGAATAAATAGTAAGAAATTCAGTTCAACAAACTCAACTCATTGCCATTGAGTCTGAACCGATTCACAGCTGACTGCCCAGTAGGTTTCAGAAGCTGTAAATCACCTAGATGGAGACTGTACATGTTTCTTTCTGGGAGCAGTTGGTGCATCCAAACCATCTGCCTTTGAGTTTGACTCAAATGCAACTCTTTCTCCACTTGGCCACTGCTGTTGTTATGATCCATCAAGTCACCTAAATAAGAGCTCCTTCATAAGAAATTAGGGGAAATCATACCATAAGAAATAATTAGATTGGCCAACATTATTACAGAAATAATTATAAATATTTTGTCAGTTCTTTAGATTTAATGAAAGTTGAAACATCTTAAATGCAAAGGATTGCACTTGTTAATTTTCTGGTTTTAGAATTTAATAGAATAAACAGAGCAACAATTAAAAGAGACCATCTGAGAGATAATGATGGCGGTTGTAGGAGTTATAATAAGGTTAGCATAACTATAACACATTAGTGCCTACATTCCCAGCTTACCAATTTTAAAAACAAATATACTTAACCCTAACGATAATATATATGCATTATTATCCCCATTTTCACATGTGCATAACTGCAGACTCAGATAGATGTAGTGATTTTTGCAGTAGTACAAGAACTGGGTTAAAAATGAAACTTTCTAATGCTCTGGTCAACAATATTTCTCCTATTCAAAGCTGCCTCCCAACCTGTTAAAAATTCAGTAACCCATCATGTTTTTTCTTTGAAAGACTGAAACCCTGTACATACAGCCAACACTTAACTTCTCTGACTGCCCTAGTTTTTGTATAAAAAAAGATAAAACCTAATACTTCAAAATTCTTAGCCTTCTCCCTAAATTGTAGAGGTAGAAAATGAAAACCAAACCAAACCAAACTTGACTTAGCTAGTAGGTAGCCAAATGTTCTTAGGTAGTAGGTAGTTGTAATTTAGCACTGGGCACTGCACAGGGTCCTCTGAAGGTAGTCCCTCCTGTGAAGGTCCAGGAGGACAGAGGGCATCATGGCAGAGAGCTGCTTACCAACACAGGATTCCCCGGACAGTGAGTAGGTCCCATCGTCATGGAAACCGCTTCTGCACTCACAGTGGTACCACCCTGGCAGGTTAACGCAGCGTGAATGGTTGTGGCACTCAATGATCCCCTCTGTGCACTCATCAATATCTGCCTCAGAGAAAAACACAAGCCCACCAGGACATTAATTTCTTTACACATCTCTCAGTAACTACCTAAAACATATGATGTCAACATATCAGTTAAAATTGGTTATTCATCTCTGATAAAATGTTGGAAGATAAATCTAACCTCATTTATCTTCCAGAATCCAGACAAACAGAGAGCTTCCCTCTGCTTTCTCATGTAATGAATGAGAGCTGATGGCTATGACAATATTCTAAACCTGTGAGACGGTAGCTTTGGAATCAACCAAAACCAAAATAAGGACATTTAGCACAGTTGTGGTATTTACTGTGCATGATTTTCTCAGATTCAGAATTTCCTAAATAGTGATCCCAGATGTCATTTGGTGTTCTTTGAAAATGTCTATAAATAAATGCATGCTCTCTGGTGGCACAGTGTGTTAAAAGCACCTGCCTGGTAACTAGAAGGTTGCTTCTTTAAATCCACCACTCAGTCCTCAAAAGAAAAACAAGGCAGTCTGTTTCTGTACAGATTTACAGCTTTGGAAACCTTGTCTTTGCTGTCAACTTGATTCTAACTCATGGAGACTTTTCACCAGGTTTCCGCCGGCTATAAATCTTAGCAGGCGAAGACTGCCTCATCTATTCCTGTGCAGCTAGTGGACTGGGACCACCAGCCCTTCAGCTGGCAATACAAATCATAACCCATTATACTACCGGACGTTTTTTATTTTGTCCTGTAAGGTCACTATGCAGTGGAATCAGCTCGAAGGCAGTGACCAGTGCGGTATGTTACAAAGAAGCTTGCGAAACACTGGCTTCAATTGTGTGAAATTGCTGTAAGTGTTGTTTTTCTTTAGTTGTTAGCTAAAAGACTTACAGTATTACTTACTATGGCCTGTAAAGCTCTGAAGGGAAAAGAATACTATGTATTAGTTCCCAAATTTGCCTGATTGCAGAATGCTTTTTTCTTGGGATAGTTTTAACATTTTGTAAGACTAATGTTCTGTCTGTATAATATGTTTTGGGAAATACTGTCCTGTTTCAACACTGTTGTTTCGCTTGGAGACTTAGTTTACGATACACTCTTTGCGGTGGAAGCCATTCCAACTCACAGCAATTCTCTCCAGCCAGTTTCAAAGGCTTCAAATTTTAACAGGAGGGGATTGTTCATCTTTCTTTGTGGAAGCTCTGGTGAGTTTGAAACACTTGGGATGTGAGGCTCTGCCACCGGGAAAGGAAATCAGAAATCTCCATGCTTGTCATTCTTGATGACAGGAATTCTTCTGGGCTTTGTTTACGCTCTGAGAACTAACTTTTCAAGATCAGCCAATAGCTATCTCAGACATAGATCTTCTCACCCAGAGCGTTGCTCTTTGTCAACATTAAGACAGACAAGATTCTCATTGTAACCACAGTGCCAACTCTTTCTTACAGAATCTGTACTTTCAATTATTGCCTGGAATGCAACTATTATTATTATTATTATTTAGAATCCTCTCATAATTCACTGGGAACATCTGAACTATGGCACTCTTGTATGAATAGAAATTTAACACTGGGAAATAACACACAATGAACATATAACTGTTTGTGACCTTGTTGTAGCCACCAGCTCAGGGGACAATCAGCTACTTGAGAGTCCATTCTGCCTTGACAAGTCCTCAGCTGTCCATCTGGTTTGCATCCTGACACTCTCATCTCACACTTTAGAATGTAAGTAGAGATAAAAGGTTTAGTTCACATACTCTGGAACTCAGACTTTGACTTTTGCTGTCATATGACCTCTGTGTCCAGTATGAATTTAATTATTTGGCTTTTAGCTTCCCTTAGGCTTCTATATGCCAGAATTCATCAAGACCCAATGTTTTGAGCGTACCTTCAGCAACCACAGCTAGTCTGTGCATGCATTAGCTATACAACCCCAAAAAACAAATTATCTACAGCTGCATACACTACCACTGCCAACATTTCACAGGTCTATGGCTCTCTAGAAGTTTAGGTGGCACAGCTGCTAGCTAAAAGGTCTATGATTTGAACGTTCCAGCCATCTGCTTCTGTAAATATATGCAGCCTTGGAAACTATGGGATGGTTCTACTCTATCCTGCGAGTTATTAGCATCTGAGGTTCACTACTAGTTGGAATCAGCTCAATGATAGTGGGACGGGTGGTTTTCTGGGATAGGCCTTGAATCATTAACATTTTCAAACACTGACTAGGGAATGTGCAGTAAGGTAGGTATCATCCTGAACTTGGAGTTGGAAAGCTTTCCTGCTTAAGGTTGCTTCAGTTGCTGACAGTTTACTAGAGAAATGTGGACTTTGATAAAACCAGAATACAATCAATTCCTTTGGAGTATAATCTAAACTAAAGGCCCTTATTTAATGGAAGATCTTTAATTTAACATAACACGGGGTATTAAGAGATACAAAATGGACCAATATTTAGGGACGATATCTTTAGATTAAAAAGAGAAAGAAAAAGTGCTGTCTTTCAATGTGTGTGTCCAAGTGTCCCAATGGCTGATTTTGCAGAAGTAGATTGCTAGGCCTTTCCTTTGTGACACACACATCTATGTGGACACAAACCTCCCACCTCTCAGCTGTCAGCAGAGTCTTAAATGTCTGTACCACTCAGGGGTGCAACCCCTTCTTTACCTCAAGCTGAAGGGTGGTTCTCTGCAAGACAAAAGGAATGCATTCTCCCTCGGACCTTCCATTCCCCAAACTCACTGAAAGGCAGTCATGATTACTACAGACCTTGTATCTTGCTTTCGAGAATATTCTGGGTAACAACTATCTAGCCTTGGTTAGATAGGAAACTACTGTTGTTATAGCCTGTCAAGTCAAATAAACTCACAGCTGAGCCTACTGTGGGTTTACAGAGGCAGTCAATTACATGGGATGATATAGGCCATCTTTCTCCTGTGCAACAGCTACTAAACTAGGAAATACAAAAGCAAAACACCTCAAACAACCAAAGTAAATTTATGGTCCCGTTTGCAGGGATGAATTATTCAGGATGGCTGATAGTTTAAATTCCTGGCCTAGTGGCAAGAAGCCACGCTGCAATCCCAAAAGGTGCTTGGTTTGAGGCTATCAGCTGCTCCATGGGAGAAGGATGGGTAATCTCCTCCTGTGTGATTAACTGCCTCTGAAAAACTACCAGAGGGTCAACAATGGGTCAGTTTTGACTCTGCGGTACGTAATAACAACAGCAACTCACTTTCAAAACCTTCTTTTGGAGGGTAACTATCTAAATAACTCCTCCAGCCTGAAAGTCTGCCAAAGATTTATACTAAAAACAGGGCTCAAGAAGGTCCCACAAGTATTTTATGTATCCACAGTTCTCTATCCCCAAGCTTCAACGATGAGCAAGGCCATTTGCTCATCATGAATTCCCATTACTCAGCAGGACTGACGATAGCTGTGAAGCATACAGGGATTCGCATAGCAAGTGAATAAAATCAGACATTTATAAATCTACTACTCCCCCAGAGACACACTAGCAATTCCCTGGATGATTTGAAAAATGAGAAAAGTTGTGGAAATGCCTTTTGCCTGGGAGCAGTAATTCTAGCAGCAGATTCTAGGACTCTCTGGGAAGAACCAGTTCTCATCACCCGGTAACAAGGTTGTACATTTCTGCTCTCTATGCAAGGAGCTCTGGTGGTCTAGTCTGTAAGGAGTTGTGTTACTAAGCTAAAGAACAAGCCCCTTTGGCAGTTCGAATCTATAAGCAACCTGGTTAGAGAAAGAGGAACAAACTCCTCCTGTGCAATTTATAGCCATGAAAATGAAATAGAGAGTCAGCTATGAGTTGATTCCAAGTTGATGGCAATGAGTTTGAGTTTTTGATGCAAGGTCTGAAATTATTTTAAAAGCTACCACACTGCAAAAGAGCTCTTATCCTGCAGTGTGTAGTATGTTGGGTAACTAACCAGAAGGTCAGAAGCTTAAATTCCAATCTGTTCCATGGGAGAAAGGTGGGCTATTTATTCCTATAAAGATTTACAGCCTTGGGAACCCAGTGGAGGACTACAAGTTGCAACTGAATCTATGGCATTGGGTTGCATACTGCAATGGAGAGGCTCCTATGTTTTCTTCATGTTCCTCTGACTGGTTGTTCCTTTTGTTTATGTAGCCACAGTACTAAAAACAACTACAGCTGACCCCAATACAGAAAACACCTGGAGGCTATTCAGTGACATTTTGGGGACCTTACAAAATGATAAATTATAAAACCCAGCCCCAGCGGGGTTGTGGCTGTCTTTATCCTCACAGATTTGTTTCTTCCCTTCCACACTTGCCATAGGCAAACAAGTAAGACAGATGTTCTGGAAATGGGGTCTCAGTGAGTTCACAATGGAATCCTACTCTCTCACCCAAGGAATTATGATAAATCACAGGCAGCACTCGAGGTATTAGCTATCCCAAAGGAAACAAAAAAGAATTTTTCCTTCCTGCAGAAAGCCCGAGGTTCCCCCCCCCCTTTTTTAAGATTTCAGTGTAACACAACAGAGACCCTAAAATGAGACAGAGGATATCAAAGGAGGTAAGAGGAGTGTGTATTTTTAGTTTCTGAATCACCAGTGCCACGTGTCTACTACAGATCAAACAGGCAGGCCACATAGCTCACAAATGGTAATACCAGGTTCTCATACGAGCCAGCACCAATCCTTCTCATTTCCTGTCTTCTTAGTGATGGATCAAGAAGACTTACATAAAGGTAATGCATTTATTCCATTTCTCATCTGTAAAATAGGGTAATATGGTTGTTGTTGTTGTTGATTGCCATCGAGCCGAGCATGACTCATAGTGACCCAATGAACAAAAGATTTGAAGCCTTTCTGTAACTATTGTCATTTCTCAAAGTTCATAGTTTCCAGAGGCATGTTATTTAGGAAGTGGAAAATAGGGTAATAATAGTATATGTTTTAAGAAGCTCTAGTAGCTTAGTTCCAGTCATCATTTTTTCTTTTATCAGACACATCTTGATAGCATATTTGATCAATTTTGCACTGA